CACACCCTCTCTAGCATTTGTTGTTTGCAGATTTTCTGATGATGCCCATTCTAACTGGTGTGAGGTGATACCTCATTGTAGTTTTGATTTGCATTTCTCTAATAATTAGTGACGTTGAGCAGCTTTTCGTGTGCTTTTTGGCCATCTGTATGTCTTCTTTGGAGAAATGTCTATTTAGGTCTTCTGCCTATTTTTTGATTGGGTTGATTGTTTTTTTAATATTGAGCTGCATGAGCTGTTTATATATTTTGGAGATTAATCCTTTGTCCGTTGATTCGTTTGCAAGTATTTTCTCCCATTCTGAGAGTTGTCTTTTTGTCTTGTTTGTAGTTTCCTTTGCTTTGCAAAAGCTTTTAAGTTTCATTAGGTCCCATTTGTTTATTTTTGTTTTTATTTCCATTACTCTAGAAGGTGGATCAAAAAAGATCTTGCTGTGATTTACGTCAAAGAGTGTTCTTCCTATGTTTTCCTCTAAGAGTTTTATAGCGTCTGGTCTTATATTTAGGTCTCTAATCCATTTTGAGTTTATTTTTATGTATGATGTTAGGGAGTGTTTTTATTTTTAACATCTTTATTGGAGTATAATTGCTTTACAATGGTGTGTTAGTTTCTGCTTTATAACAAAGTGAGTCAGTTATACATATACATATATTCCCATATCTCTTCCCTCTTGCGTCTCCCTCCCTCCCACCCTCCCTATTAGGGAGTGTTCTAATTTCATTCTTTTACATGTGGCTGTCCAGTTTTCCCGGCACCGCTTATTGAAGAGACTCTCTTTTCTCCTTTGTATATCCTTGCCTCCTTTGTCATAGATTAGTTGACCATAGGTGTGTGAGTTTATCTCTGGGCTTTCTATCCTGTTCCACTGATCTATATTTCTGTTTTTGTGCCAGTACCATATTGTCTTTTTTTTTTTTTTTTTTTCAGTACGTGGGCCTCTCACTGTTGTGGCCTCTCCCGTTGCGGAGCACAGGCTCCGGACGCGCAGGCTCAGAGGCCATGGCTCACGGGCCCAGCCGCTCCACGGCATATGGGATCTTCCCGGACCGGGGCACGAACCCGTGTCCCCTGCATCAGCAGGCGGACTCTCAACCACTGCGCCACCAGGGAAGCCCCCTGTTGGAAGATTTAAAATCACAGTTTCAACTTCATTACTTGTGATTGGTCTGTTCACATTTTCTATTTCTTCCTGGTTCAGTCTTGGAAGGTTGTACCTTTCTAGGAATTTGTCTATTTCTTCCAGGTTGTCCATTTTTTTGGCATAGAGTTGTCTGTAGCAGTCTCTTAGGATGCTTTGTATTTCTGTGGTGTCTGTAACTTCTCCTTTTTCATTTCTAATTTTATTGGTTTGAGTCCTCTCCCTCTTTTTCTTGATGAGTCTGGCTAATGGTTTATCAATTTTGTTTATCTTCTCAAAGAACCAGCTTTTAGTTTTATTGATCTTTGCTCTTATTTTCTTTGTTTCTATTTCATTTATTTCTGCCCTGATCATTATGATTTCTTTCCTTCTGCTAACTTTGGGTTTTGCTTGTTCTTCTTTCTCGAGTTCCTTTAGGTGTAAGGTTAGATTGTTTATTCGAGATTTTTCTTGTTTCTTGAGGTAGGCTTGTATTGCTATAAACTTCCCTCTTAGAACTGCTTTTGCTGCACGTCATAGGTTTTGGATCATCATGTTTTCATTGTCATTTGTCTCTAGGTATTTTTTGATTTCCTCTTTGATTTCTTCAGCGATCTCTTGGTTATTTAGTAACGTATTGTTTAGCCTCCAGTTTAAATGTTTATAGATTCCCCCCTTTATTTTAGCACTTTGAATCATTCCAATGTCTTCTGGTTTCCACTGTGGCTGTCGAGAAGTGTGCTACAGGTTTAGTTGTATTCCTTTGAAGATGATCTGTGTTTTCTCTCTAGTCTTTAGATTGTTGGTCTTAATTGTTCCACAGTTTCACTGAGTTGTATCTAGGTGTGGATTTCTTTATATTTATCCTTCTTGGCATAAATTGTGCTTCCTATATTCGTGAATTCTTGTCTTTCATCAATTCTTGAAAATTTTCAGCCATTTGCTCCTCATATATTGCCTTGCCCCCGTTTTCTTTCTCTTCTCCTCATGCAGAAGCCAGTTTGGTGACTGTAAGACCGCCTCATTCATTGACTCCTAACTTTTTTATCATTTTGTCTCTTTTGCTGCATTTTGATGGATTTTTTCAGATCCATCTTTTAGTACACTTTCTTCAGCTATATCTTCTGCATTGCAGTTTTAATTTTAATTCTTACATACAGTTTTTTATTTCTTGATATTCTATTTTTTTCCTAAATCTACCTGGGCATTTTTTATAATCTCTTATTCCTTGCTTATGTTTTCTATTCCATCTTTTATTTCTTTAAACATTTCACAATAGCTTCTTTAGATACATCATCTGATTGTTCCAAACTCTGGAGCCCTTAAAGATTTAAACCTGTTGATTATTATTCCTGCTGATTCTCATTTGTGGTGACTTGAATCCTTACATATTTAGTAACTTTTTGGTGAGTTTATATTTGGCTAAATTTAATCTAGAGGCTTGGATTGAGAATGCTCTCCTCTAGGGAGAATTCCGTTTGCTTCTGTTGGATTTCAGGGGGCATTAAAAATATGGGGCCACTTAATTTTTTTAATATAAATTTATTTATTTATTTTTGGCTGCGTTGGGTCTCCATTGCTGCACGCAGGCTTTCTCTAGTTGCGGAGAGCAGGGGCTACTCTTTGCTGCGGTGCGCAGGCTTCTCACTGCGGTGGCTTCTCTTGTTGCAGAGCACAGGCTCTAGGCACATGGGCTTCAGTAGTTGTGGTGCGTGGGCTCAGTAGTTGTAGCTCGTGGGCTCTAGAATGCAGGCTCAGTAGTTGTAGTGCATGGGCTAGTTGCTCCACAGCATGTGGGATCTTCCCGGACCAGGGCTCGAACCCGTGTCCCCTGCATTGGCAGGCAGATTCTTAACCACTGTGCCGCCAGGGAAGTCCCTAATTTACTTTTAAAATATGTTGTGCTTTATATAGCATTTAGGTATTATGGCATGGGAGGACTTCTGCAAACTCTGTGATACTACTGGAAGAGAATTTTTAAAACAAACAAAAATGTGATTATATGGTATATATTGTTTTATAACCTGCTTTTTTCTTTTGATATATGATAAACACCTGTTGTACTAATAAATATAGGTCTCAGCAGTAGAGAACTGAAGGGATGAGGGGCACCCAAATAGACTCCAAAAGCCTGGGACAACTGGGGTCAGGGGTACCAGGCCTCAAGAAAGGCCAGAGCTCCAAAATCCAGGACTCAACTCTCCATTGCCAGTCCCCTCCTGCCAGAAGAAGAAAGCAGATGGTCCTCTCAGGCACTCACTCTAGGCTCCTCTCCCTACCCCTCCTTCTCTTAAAGGGGCTTGGTTTATTTTGAGTCAAAAGGTATTATAGGCTCTGACACCATCCCCAACCCTATGCTTTACAGTAGCTTCCCCTGACTCTCAGGGTCTTATTTCATTCTAAGGAAATCCAGCTGTAAAAGGTTTTTAAACACACTTCTAACTCCTTTCTAACTACTCTCCTCAAGTGGAGCCCAGGTGTTGGGCCCACAAGCTCAGAACGAATCATGAAAGGAATGGCTATCCTCTCTGATGGCTCTTAGCTCCTGAACTAGACTTTTTTGAGGACCTGCCAAACTTGCCTTTATATTCTGTGAGATACCACCATATCACCATAATGAAGTCTTCAGATGGATTCTGTCAGCTGTGCAGGTGCAGGCAAGAGACCCTAAACCATAAAGAAGCCCAACCTCCTTTCTCCTCCCAACGAGTATGGAGTGCCAGCTGGGGTGATCAGCATCTTAAGGAAGCCTCAGACGTTTTGGTTGTTCATTTATTAGTTCAATTCAACAAATATTTATTGGGTACCTACCATGTACCAGCTTTTAAAGAGACTACAGTCTAAGAATTCCCTAAATAGGTTGAAAATAGCATGGACTGACTCCACCAGCATTCATGATGTGGATCCCGGAGTTCCAAGTGCTCAAGAAACCACAGTTCACTGCTGGCCACTTTTGCTCCAACTAGCAGGGCCCATGGACCACTGGACAGAACGGAAATTTCACACCAAGGTGAGCACCCTCCAGTGAGTCCTGGCCCATGACCCATGACCCACAGGGTTGGGTCTCCCCAAAAAGAACCGAGTGCCTAAGGCTGGCTATATCTAATTCCACAACCTCCAGCCATGGTCAGGCCTTGGGCAGGTAAAATATGGACGCCTTCTGTCTGCCCCGAATCCTTAAGGCTCCCCTTGCTCCTGAGTTCTCCAGGGCCCTTGTCCAGAGTAAATGCTTGCCGGGAACATTTGTTAACCAGAGAAGTTGCATGGAGGATTTGCCGTGAGGGGAGAGGGCAGAGAGGCTCTGAGGTGTTTCCACTGCAGTATACACCACAATAACAGCAACACTCTGGCTGGCCCAATTCCCCTAGCTGACCACAAGACCCTGGGAGTGGGTCTTGGTCTTGCCAGCAGACAAATCACTACCAAGGGCAGGAATGCAGACTGTTGGTTGCTTCACACCTACCCCAGCCACCTCCCCCACCAGCTGAAGCCTATGTGAAAATAGCAAAGCTTGATGGTTCAGAGCCAGGCTTGGAGGTCAGGTCCACACACGCTTGGGCCAGGTACTTACACTATCCGTGCTTCCGCTTCCTCACCTATAAAGAAGTAACAAAAGCAGTACCTATCTCCTTAGGGTTGATGTGAGAATTACATAAGCTAATCTATATTATGTACCTCCTATACGGTGAGCTTTAGACACGTGTTAGCTGTGATCTTAAGGCAGCTGGGGGAGAGCGGAAGCTTAGGACCATAATGTCCTCCTCAGCACCATCTCCCCCAGTCCTCCCCATCCCAGGCTTGGCGGTGGAGCTGGGAATCCGGTGGGAGAAGGGAGAGACGCCAGCTTAGAAGGGGGTTGATTGTGGGTTCCTAGAAGGTGAGGACTCCTTCCGTGGCGCCCTGCACACCCAGTGACACTGAACCTGGCCGTGGCACCCGAGGAACAGCGCTAGCTTCCCTTCGGCACCTCACCGGCACCCCTCCCCCCAACCTGCCCCGGAGGGTGGGACTGCAGAGGCTTCCGTCAAAGAAGGAAGTGGTCCAGGCAGTGTAGAGAAAGCAACCCGGGAAGCGGAATCCGTGCAGTGGCCTGGAGACTGACCCCTCTCCCGGCCCCCAACCCCAGGGCACAGTGGGGCTCACGCGGGAGGCTGGAGATTGAACTGACCAACACGAGCTGAGTCACGGGGCTTGGGGGGTGGGGCGGTGTGGGGAGCCGCGCGGCCTTGGGGCCCTGGCCGGCGGGTGATGAGGCCCCCTCTCTCAGGCACAGCGGTACCTCAGCCCCGCTGGTGTCCATCGAGGAAGTGGAGAACCCCGAGTTCATGGGCAAAGACGGATTTGGCGCTGTCTTCCGGGCACAGCACAGGACTTGGGGGTTTGGAAGTGGCGGTGAAGATCGTGAACTCGTGAGTGCCCCGAGCCGCTTGGGGGCGGGTGTCTGGTCTGGGAAGCCGGGCGGAGGAGGAGGGGCCTCTGCGTGGCAGGGCCTAAGTGCGGAAGGGAAGGATCTTCCCAGGAGGGAGCTCGGCTCCAACCCGCGCCAGAGTGCCGGCCTGCGATATCCAGGGAGGTGAAGGCCATGGCAAGCCTGTGTAACAATCATGTGCTGCCCCTGCTGGGGGTCACAAGGAAACTGGAGTGGGAGTACGTGTCTGGGCCGGCTCTGGTGACTCAATTCATGGAGCACGTTCCCTGGCGGTGCTGCTACAGCCCCAGTGCCCAAGGCCAGGGCCGCTCCTCTGCCGCCTGCTGCAGGACCTGGTGCTCGGGATGTGCTACCTGCACAGCCAGAACCCCATGCTTCTACACCGGGACCTCAAGCCCCCCAACGTCCTATTGGACTCAGAGCTGCATGCCAAGGTCAGCGCATCCATTACGCAGCCCAACCCCTGGACGAGGTCCTGCCCCACAGCTGCTCCAACCCCACCCACTGGACAGAGGACCTGCTGCAACCCTGTCTTCTGAATACCCTCAGCATCTCCCTCTGGACACAGTGCTGCCCAAGTGTCAAGGCTCATCCAGGAGCTTTAGCCCCTGCCATACCAGGCGATAGACGCCTTGGCCAACATGGTCAGTTCCATGGGTCCACCCCACGGGGTCCTCCAAAGACCCGCGGCTGACCTAGTCCAGGAGACTCAGACCTTGACCCAGCCCCATGGAGCGGGGACCCAGACCTCCAACCAGGAGCCTCACTGGTCCTACCATTCCGCTAACCCCCCACACCCCCTTTACAAGGCTGGGACCATAATATCTGCACAGCCACAGAAGGGCCTGCGCCTTCTGTGGGGGAGAGAAAAGGATTCTGCAGGCTGCTAGGCCCTGTCCATCTCCTATCTCCTCCTTCTTATCTCCTTTTGCAGCTGGAAGATTTGGGCCTGTCCACGTTTCTGGGAGTCTCACAGACAGGGGCAGGATCTGGGGAGTCAGGGAGCACCCCAGCTTACTTGGCCCCAGAACTGTTGGCTGATATAAACTGGAAGGCCTCCATGGCCAGTGATGTCTACAGGTAAGGTACTCCAAACATACATCCCCAATTTCTACACCTCTCTGGGTCCTTCTAAGGGATGGTATATGGAAAGGAGTCTTGTCAGCAGTTGGGTCAGGCCTCAGCTTTATGTCTCCTGCAGCTTCGGGATCCTAATGTGGGCAGTGCTAGCCAGAAGAGAAGCTGAGAGTAAAACTCTAGGCAGACTCTGGGATCCTTCACCTCAGGTGCCCCCTCTCCCAAACCCCCAATCCCCAAGCCCTCCTCTTCCTGTTTACCTGCTCAGACGGCCCTACTCCCTCCTCACATCTCCTACACTCCCTGCCCCTTTCCGTGATGGCTCAGGTGGCCTTCATACTCTGGATGTCTTCTCCTCACACCCACACCCCAGTAGTGGACCATGAATCACTGCAGCGGGAAGCAGTGTGTGAGAGGCAGATCCGGCCTGCATTGACTGAGCTGCCCCAGTCTGGCCCTGAGATCCTGGCTTGGAAGTACTGAAGGATTTAATGCAGCACTGCTGGAGCCATGAGCCCCAGAAGAGACCCTCCTTCCAAGGTGCGCTGACCACTTAGCTGGCAGCTGAGGTAGGCCTGGATCTGTCAGCAGGGGCTTTTCACTGGAAAAGAAGTTTTGCTCACCTGCCACCCACTCTGCCTTCTCTCCAGAATGCCGACCAAACACCCAGAAAGTCCTCGATCTGGTAAAGAAAGGAGATGTCTGGTAAAAAGATGAATGCTGCAGTCTCCACAGTGAGTGCCCAATGCCCTCACCCCACCTAGGAGCTGGGCAGGATGGCACAACGTGGCTCCCCTGACCACCCAATGACTCCCCACTGACCACTGTTTTCTAAGCCTTGACTGTTGTCCCCAGTGTCCCCGCCCCATCCTTGAGTTCCCAGACAACAGATATGAAGCAAGAGACTCCTCCCTTGGGTTTGCCCTGGCTCTCCCACCTCCATGCCCAGCCAGCTCCCCATCCTTGCAGGTAAAGGAGTTCCTGTCTGAGCACAGGGGCAGCAGCAGGTTGTTGTCTGTCCTCAAGCCAGGCCCGGAAAGTACAGAAAAGGATGGCCCTGGGGGAACCACAGGAAGCCATGATTCCATGGTCTCTGAAATGATGAACCTGAATCTGGAGGGGTACCCCAGGCCTGTTCCTGAAAAATGTACAAACCTTCCTGAGAGCATCAGGGCCCAGAGGGGGCAGGTTCAGCCTGCCCTGGACAGCAGAGACCTCTTCAGATTCAACAGCCCAACCTCCTCAAAATCCAGAGACCTTACCTGTCAGAAACCAGAAGCCCAGCCCCACCTCGGCTTGGACCCCAGGTCCTGGACCCCAAGGGTATCAGGTGAGACATTGGTAGGACTAGGGGATGCACTAGGACTCCTGTGAATCCTGTCCCCTTGCTAGGGGAGACTTGGGGCTGAGGGGGTCTGCAGTAGGGGAACAAGGCCCAGGACAGGGGGCCTGAGAGCCCTGTGTTGTTTGCAGGGGGCTGAGAGACGTGACACCAACTGGCCTCCCAGGGCGCCAGGGCCAAATCCAGTACCAGGTACCCACTCCGCACTCCTTCCTCCTTCCTTCCCCCTGCTCAATTCTTCCACAAGCTTCTTCCTCAAGACCAAATATAGATCCAGGGTACTTGGGGAGGGGAATGAGAAAGGGCTAGAGGCCACCTAACCCAACTTTCTCATTTTATAAACGAAGAAACTGACATCCACTGAGGTCACACAGCAAAGCCTGGATTTGCCCCTGAGCCTTCTGACTTTCCCCAACACCAGCTCTGTGAACCCCTGAATTCCATTCCATTGTTGCCATGTATGCCCAGAGGGTTTCCTATCAGAAAAGACCCAAACATCAGAGTCTCAGATGTTAGTTGCCACTCCTCTTGAGCTTCTGCAAACCCAATTCTGAAGGTGCAGCCTGAAGACACACCTTCACCCAGTCACTGGCAGGCCCGGAGACTCCACACTTGCATTTCCCCAGGGTGAACACGAGGTGCCACTGCCTCTCCACCCTGCCGCTCCTCCTCACTTTGAGTCTCGAGAGCGCTTAACCCTCCCACCATCATCACTCTTTCTCTTAAAGGGCCACGGTTTCCTACCGTACTTCATAGCCAAGGGGTACAGATTGGAAACAACAACCATATGATTATACAAGGAAGAACTGCCTCACCCCTGCAGGGCCTGGCACCTCGGGGCATGGATAGGGGCCCCCAGCACACCCCCAAGGAATAGGTTCAAAAGAAGGACGGCAAGAACCGGAAGCCTGGAGTGGGCCACAGGGCTGGTATCATAATAGCAGGAATCGAAGCAGCTTCTAAACTGCCTCCTGGACTTGAGGCAGCTAGCCTAGACTTTCTCTGAGGGCCATCAGGCCTGCACCCGAACTGTCTTTGTGGCCCCAGGAGTCAATAAATGTGGTGGAATTTTGACCAAAGCACCACGACGAGGCTAAAGCTTCAGCCAGGGGCTGGAAGGGACGTGGATGAGAGGCCGGGGAGCTGACATCGAGGGAGTAGAAGGCACTTCCGTGTCTGGCTAGGGCGGGAAGGGGGATGCTGAGGGCTGTAGGTGGGCAGAGTTGTGGCACACAAGGTCAGGGCCCAGCTGGCGGCGGCAGGAAGGAATCCTGGAGGTCTGGCTCCTGGGCAGCTCTAATCTCAGGGCAGAGCACTTCCTGTAGAGCAGGCCCAGACCCCACCCTAAACCAAAGCCTGAGGACAGAGGCTGTGGTCCTGCCACCACCTTTTCCCTGGGCTGTGGAGACTTGGCAGTGGAGTCCTGGGGAGGGGGCTCGCCGTGGGATTTTGCAGACCCCAGCACATCTCCCTGCATGATGCCCCTAGTCTCTCGTACGTCAGCCCCCATACTACCACCTCCCTCCGCTGCGTGCACACATTGCTTCCGTGGAGGCACTGGAACCCTTTGATTCTCAGCTGCTGTCTGGGAGTGGACAGCGACGGCTCCACAAAGCTACACGCAGATGTGCCCCTCCCCTGGAGCTGGACACCACCGGAGTATGGACCACTCAGATACGGCCACAGCGCTGCCGTCTAGGCTGGAGGAGCAGGGAATGACCGCCTCCCATCCTAACCTAGAACCTAGCCCCCGCGTGGCACCATGTTCTTCTTCCCCGCATCCTTGCCAGCCTTCGCTCCAGCCCACCCTCAGTCTCCCCACATCCAAGGTTCTGAACCCATTTTGACATTTGACGCTTGGCTCAGCCCACCCCACCCCTTGCGTCTCCCCCCGCGGTCCGCATTCCTCTTCCTTGAGGGGGCAGATGTGGGGAGGCTGTGGAGTTAGGAGAGACAATCAGAGTGGGGGAGGAGGCCTGCGGAGTCCGGCTAGGGCACAGGAAGGGCCGGGCTGTCCCACCGGGGAAGTGGGAGGGCGCCGAGGCGCCGGGAGGGAAGTGCCTGTTGCCCGGGGCTCAGAGCTAATAGCCTAGCAGCCAGTGTGACTCCGAAACCTGCCCTGGGGTTAGCCCGTTCAGCTGCGGCAGTGAGTTGGGGGAAAGGAGGTAGCCGGGGCTCCTTTGCTTCAACCCTGAATCCTGTGCCCCTGGCTTTTGCTAGAGCACCTCTGCAGTCTGGGTTTGAGGAAGGAGAAGCAAAGCATTGAGCAGTCCCTTCACTGCCAACTGGGAGAAGGCAAGGAGGTCACACGGAGTGCCTGGGGGAGGTGGGATAGCGAGGTTGGGAGGTCCGGGCGCAAGTGGCTTGGACCTGGTGAGAACGGCACAGCTGGGGCTAGCTGGGGCCTCAGACAGTAACCCACCCTGGCCCTCCTCAGCCCCAGGGGTCACCCCAAGGCGGTATAGCTCTGGGCAGGGGAGACCATGGCCCGCCTCTTCAGTCCCCGGCCGCCTCCCAGCGAAGACCTCTTCTACGAGACCTACTACAGCCTGAGCCAGCAGTACCCACTGCTGCTGCTGCTGCTGGTGATCGTGCTCGTCGGGCTCCTGGCGCTGCTCGCTGTTGCCTGGGCCAGCGGCAGGGTGAGTGGCGGGGGAGGTGCGGGGAGTGGGGCTCTGGTGCAGGGCGCCTCCTCGGGGACAGCGGGAGGGTCATTGCCTCAGGGGCATTTTCAGGGTTGGGACTTGTGGGTCTTCTTTTGTTTCGGCCACGCCTTGCAGCTTGTGGGATCTTAGTTCCCAACCAGGGATCAAACCCACGGTCCCTGCACTGGAAGCACGGAGTCTTAACCACTGGACGCCACCAGGGTAGTCCCACGTGGATCTTCTTTTCGATGTGCTTTCTTGGCTGGGACCCGGGAAACAAGTGCTAGCCCTTGAGGAACTGCAGTGACCCTGCACTAGTCACTCTGCCTCTCTGGGCCACAGTCTCCGGGTCTACACGAGGAGATAGCTGAGCCCTCGACGCTTCTAATTTCCCTGCAGGTACTGACAGACCTCAGACCTTACAAGCTTCTGTGATCTACTGGTCCTAGAATAAATCCAACACCGGAATTTCCAGTTTTCCGGCGGTGGGGGGGGATTACACTGGGCCCCGTGGGAATCTGCTTCCTGGTTTTCTTTCCCTTTTAGGGGCCGTAGGGCAGTTGTACCCACAGAGTCCCAGAAGACACTTTACGTCCCACTCTCATTTAGTTCCAAAATGAACCCGTTTCCAGTTTCTTTTGTGGGGGGAAAGGGGATCTTCAATTCCACTTCTGGAAGTATCCTGCGTCAAGTTTTCTTTTCACATTTCGGAGGCAAGGTGGGAAAACCACTGGATGTGACCAATCGTTGGCCGTCCTCCTCCAAGTCCAGGAAGAGGTGGGGACAAACGGTGGAGACCGGGGTGGGAGTGGGGGGCTTCTAGGCCTTGAGGTGATGGTGAGATCCAGCTCCCAGGCAGGCGAGGGAGGTTCTGGGCGCCCCCCTGCCCAAGCTCTGCTTGAGGGCGGGGTGGGGTGGGGTGGGGTGGGGGGCGGGCGGGGCCTGAAACTCTGAACCTTGGTCCCGGGCAGGGAATCTCCCCAGCAAATTGGCCAGATTTGGATACACTCATGCCTAAGTGCCTTCTGTGAGCTGGAATTTCTCACTTGCTTTGGGATCCCAGGTGGGGGTGGGAGGGGTGCTTTCGTTCCGAGAAAACTGAGTCTCAGAAAGCTTCTGGATCCACAAATGGCCAGTATGAGGTTGGAGCCAGGTCTTCTGGGTAGACGGCCCAAGGTTCAGTCCCCCTGCAGCGTGCCAGCGAGATAGTAGGTTGAATCACAGGAGACTGCTGGCTCTCATAGCACAGGGAGAGCAGGTCGGTGCTTTGTGACCACCTAGAAGGGTGGGATAGGGAAGGTGGGAGAGAGGGAGACGCAAGAGGGAGGGGATATGGGGATATATGTATGCATATAGCTGACTCACTTTGTTATACAGCAGAAACTAACACACCATTGTAAAGCAGTTATACTCCAATAAAGATGTTAAAAAAGAAAAGAGAGGGAGAAGGCAGCATCTTAAACTCAAAAAAAAAAAACAGATTATCAGCAATTTCATGTGGTTCAACCTAATATGAATGGCAAGTGAAGGTACCCTACCTGCTTTTCTTACTTGGGTTTGAAACAGTTTTCAGAACGGCTCTGAGGGACTGCCCACTCCTCCTCTCCTTGGACAAGCTCCCCAAACTCCACACGCCAATCTTGCCTCATGTACCCCCTCCCCCCCAGGAGCTGGCCTCAGACCCGGGCTTCCTGACCACTATGCTGTGCGGGCTGGGCGGCTTCTCGCTGCTGCTGGGCCTGGCTTCCCGCGAGCAGCGACTGCAGCGCTGGACGCGTCCCCTGTCGGGCCTCGTGTGGGCAGCGCTGCTCGCGCTAGGCCTCGGCTTACTCTTCACCGGGGGCGTGGTGAGCGCCTGGGACCAGGTGAGGCAGGCCGAGCAGTGGGGAGGGGACTCCCGGGCCTCCGACGCGCACCCAGGCCCCGAGGAGCAGCGCAGCAGTGTAAGCGTGCAACTTCCCGCGCCCGTCTCCCCCAGGTGTCCTTTTTCCTTTTTGTCATCTTCACCGTGTACGCCATGTTGCCCTTGGGCATGCGGGACGCCGCCGCCGCGGGTCTCGCCTCTTCACTCTCACACCTGCTGGTCCTCGGGCTGTATCTTGGGCTTCAGCCGGACTCACAGCCCGCGCTGCTGCCGCAGGTGAGCACGCATGGAGCACAGGCTGCGTCCGAGGCTGGCTCCGCTGGGCGCTACTTGCTACCTCTGGGCATTCACCAACCGTTTGATGAGCTGTGACTCCAAGGCAGGGCGCAACGCTGGGCGCAGGGTACAAACACAGACCCCGACCGTGCCCTCGTGGAGCTGGTACGGAGCGCAGCGCGATGCCTGCAAACGCCAGAAGAGGGCTCTGGGCCCACGGGGAAGGGAGCTCGCCAGGGGACTGGGGTGGTGGGGACAGATGTGGACGACGGAACCGTCACAGAGAATGTAAAAATTGGAGCTTGAGTAGTGTCGTGCTGCGGCGCGGGTGGGGATGGTGGAGTAGTATTCCCAGCAGAGGAAACGTACGTGCCAAGGTTTCTAGACCTAAGAGGCCGTGTTGGTGCAGCAGCCAAGCGTCTGCTTGGGGTGGGGGTGGGGGCGGGGGGAGGAGAAGTGCCCCCTATGGGTCCCACAGTGTGGCACCCGTTGCCTCGAAATACTTCGGTCTCTTAACTGCAGAGTCCTCCTCAGCCCTCTCAGAGACCAATCCAGCTACACACAATAGCCCCCCCGACCCCGGGGTCCAGTGCCCCCTGAGGCTGACCCTTACCCACAGCTGGCGGCAAACGCGGTGTTGTTCCTGTGCGGGAACGTGGCCGGAGCATACCACAAGGCGCTGATGGAGCGCGCGCTGCGCGCCACGTTCCGGGAGGCGCTTAGTTCCCTGCACTCCCGCCGGAGACTCGACACCGAGAAGAAGCACCAGGTCCGCTGGGCCCGGGAGGCCGGGAGGGACCGGGGCTCGGAGGGAGGAGTTGTTTAGATCACACAACCGGGCTCTGGAAGCTGAATGACTTTGGGAGGGTCGCTTGACCTTCTGTTTCCTCCTGTGTAAAATGTGGCTATCACCCACCTTGGAAGGCCGCTGTGAGGCTTAAGCGAACTGAAGCTTGTGAAAGCATTTTAGGACGTTGTGATACTAAACAAAGGGCTCTAACTCCCGTATTGGTGCTGGAAGTTCAGTCCCTAAAGGTGATCAGTGCAGGGCAGGGGTGGAGCCAGGCTGTAGGTGGTGGGGAGGACCTGGGCCAGTGCCCTGGGAACACCTCTGGGGCTGGGGAAGTCTGTGGGCTCCTAAGGGTTTGGGGGGGCTGAGGCTCCTGGTTTTAGGGGTAGGAGTGTTGGTGCTTATAGTCACCTCCCCCAGGAACACCTTCTCTTGTCCATCCTTCCTGCCTACCTGGCCCGAGAGATGAAGGCAGAGATCATGGCACGGCTGCAGGCTGGACAGGGGTCACGGCCAGAAAGCACCAACAACTTCCACAGCCTCTATGTCAAGAGGCACCAGGGAGTGAGGTATAAGGAAGGATGGCAGATGGGAGGGAACGTGGGCTGAGACCCCAGCCCCACTGACGCAGTCTGCTCTGCCCAGCGTGCTGTATGCTGACATCGTGGGCTTCACGCGGCTGGCCAGTGAGTGCTCCCCTAAGGAGTTGGTGCTCATGCTAAACGAGCTCTTTGGCAAGTTCGACCAGATCGCCAAGGTCAGAGGGGGCTTCCTTCCCCACCTTCAAACTCCCCACCCTGGAGAGCCCCTTCCGAGGGAAAATTCTGCCTTATAAGATCCCAGTCCCACTTCCAAGTCCATGTGGGCTCCCAGATACCCCACTGCAGGTAGGAAACCCTCTCAAATCTCCCCAGGTATGGAACTGCTCACTGCACACCTCAAACCTGGAGAGACCTTTCAACATCCTCACAGATGCCCCAACCACAACACCCCCAAACAGGCTCTGAGCCCCAGCATAGGTGTCTCTGGACACTGCAAGCAAATCTAGATAGATTTTTCTGATGCACTAACATTAGGAGGCCCTTCCAAGGGAAACCTCTGCCCTCTGCATCCTCAGCCCAGCTACCTTCTCAGTCCCCAGGGATGCCCCTAAGCAACTTAATCTTGGGTGTCCCCCCAAAAAAACCCTCAATCCTGAGGTGACTTTCATATGCTCAAATCTGGATACACGCTACACATGCCAAAGATGGAGAGAGCCACAGACATCCCAACCTTTCAGAAGCCCTTCTGAGAAAGACACCCACCTAGGAGACCTCAGCCAGCCCCGTATCAAGTTAAGAGAGTCCCTAGATCTGACCTAGACAATCCCAACCTCAGAAGTTCTTCAGGAATACCACATTTGCTCCCACTTTTCCCCAACTCCCTCCTGCCTCCTTTGACCACTAACCAGGTGACCCCCTCCCCCTGTACACCCTTCCCCCAGGAGCATGAATGCATGCGGATCAAGATCCTGGGAGACTGTTACTACTGTGTCTCCGGGCTGCCGCTCTCGCTGCCAGACCACGCCATCAACTGCGTGCGCATGGGGCTGGACATGTGCCGGGCCATCAGGTCAGCTCAGGTGGGCAGGATGGATGTGGGGTGGGGGCGGGAAGGGTAGTGGAAGTCATCCCGGAGAGAGGGAGGGGTGCTGCATGGGTAGGGCTGAAGGCAGCACTCCCACTGTTCTCCACACACTCTGCTCAGGAAACTTCGGGCAGCCACCGGCGTGGATATCAACATGCGTGTGGGTGTGCACTCGGGCAGCGTGCTCTGCGGGGTCATCGGGCTGCAGAAGTGGCAGTATGATGTCTGGTCCCATGATGTCACTCTGGCCAACCACATGGAGGCGAGTGGAGTGCCAGGGTGAGAGCTGGGGCTCCAGCAGGCTATAGCCAGAGCCCAGTCAGGCCTCCCACATGCCTGGTTTTCATAGTTCTTTAAAATGGGCACGTTCCCAAGTGGGGCTCAGAGAGATCCTGGGGTACAGGGAGGGGAGCTGGGAGACACCTCCTGTAGCACAGGGCCTTGCTTGAAGTCAGACCTCCAGGAATGATCCTCGAAAGAAATGAGAGATTTGGAAGCCCTCCCTTCTGATTCCCACTGCCCCCTCCTTCCAGACGAGTACATATCACAGGGGCTACGCTGGCATTGCTGGCAGGGGCTTATGCTGTGGAGGATGCAGCCATGGAACACGGGGACCCATACCTTCGGGAGCTAGGGGAGCCGACCTACCTTGTCATCGATCCCCGGGTAAGAGCCCAGCCTGGACCCCATGGGCTGGCCCACGGGCCTGATCTCTTCCATGCCAGAGACTGAGCTCCTGTGTCCTGAAGTGTGTATCATGGGGGAGGGGACACAAGCCTTTAAGGGGTGTGGGGAGAATGGGGAAGGGTCTGTGATCTTGACTCTCAGCCCTCATGTGCCCCAGGCTGAGGAGGAGGACGAGAAGGGCACTGCAGGCAGGTTGCTGTCCTCTCTTGAGGGCCCCAAGATGCGTCCGTCACTGCTGATGACCCGCTACCTGGAGTCCTGGGGTGCGGCCAAGCCTTTCGCCCACCTGAGCCACGTGGAGAGCCCTGTGTCCACCTCCACCCCTCTCCCGGTACGCGCACCTCCTTCACGAGCCCAGCACTCACGTAAACCCACCCCCACTGCCCGCTTCCAGCCCCTCCCGCCCCCACCACTAGTGAGTCACTTGACGTCACAAGGTCCCGAACTTTCTGCTCACCCTAGTTACTGGTTCAGGACCTTCCTTGCCCTTCTTTCCAGAGAAAGGGCAAAGATGACTGCCCTCTGAGCTCAGCTCAGAGACGACCCAAGATCCCACAGACACTATGTCCCTTGCTACCCAGCCTCTACTCACGAAAGCCCCTTCCCCTGGTACCCTACTTCCTCCTCACTCTGAGGCCAGTGGTGCACATCTATTCCCACCAGGAAGTGTCTCTGTTTAGCTCAGTCCTGCGACTGCACGCTCTCTTCTTCAGTCCCCTCTGGGACCGGGAAGGCGGGGCCAATCGCTTGTTGCCCCTACTCTCCAACACTTGTACACAGATAAAATGAGGTGGCAGTGAAAATCTCTCGTGGCCTTGAAGAAGGAAATCACCATGAGTGGGCCGGAGGGGGGAGGGAGAGAGGGGAGCCGGCCTACCCCTCATCTGGGGGAAGTTAGGGCAGGGCCAGTTACTGGCTGATCTATACATAGCACTTCAAGGGAGTCAGTGATTCACCAGCTGCCGGAGGAGCCTGGATCTCCTCCACCAGCCGACTCTTGAGGTTGGTACTTGATGACAAGCGGCCAGAACCCCCTCATGCAGGGGCCCAGGCCATGTCCCTAAAGGCTTGCCCTGGGATTACATTCCTCAGCCCGTTCTCCTCCATTTCACCCGATCTGCCCAAAGCCTGTTCAGCATTCCCAACCACCTATCCACAGATCTTCCCAGGATCTTCTCTACTAGGTAGACCAGCTTGAATCTATGGGGTGACTACAGAGTACCCTTTCTGTGTCCCATCCCCACTCCTCTCCCATCCAGCAGGAAAGCAGGCCAGAGATCAGTGCACAGTGGGGAGCGGGGAGGGGGTGGACCTTGGCAGCAGTGGCTCAGCGGCTGAGTGCATGGGGAAGGGGAGCTGTCAGAGGGCTAAGCTGGCAGGATGGAGAGGAAGGAAGAGCCCAAGACCCAGCTGACTGTTGCAGGATGAGACCTCCCAGTGGGGGTGGGGTAGAAAGGGGTTTGCCGGGAGCCCAGGGGCTGTAAGACAATATTGGGTACAATCCCCGAGGTGGGGAAGCCCCCCAGAACCCATGCCAGAACTCCCCAACCCCCCACTGGCGTGCAGGCTAAGAAGTTCAGGGCAGAGTGGGAATCCCTTGCTCTAAGGTATCTCCTGAGGCAGGACCTCACCAGCCCAGAGACTCCCTTCTCAGCCCCTGATATCCCAGGGCCTCATTCAAATGTTAGGAATCCTGAGACTCACACTTAGCCTACTATTAAACAAGGCAGAACTTTGGGGTGGTGGGGTGCTGTTTGTGTGGTGGGTACCATCCCTCCATTCCTTCCTTCCTTCCTTCTTTCCACAATCTTTGAGCACCTACTATGTTGCAGGCACTAGGTTGGTTCTTGAGAAGACAGAAATGAATAAGATGTTTTCCTTGCCTTCAGATAACTTATAGGCATGGGGCCGGGGATGGGGGCGCAGGTAGGTAGTCTGATAAAAGTGAAGATCGGGCATAGATGCATAGATGGCCCCATGCCTAGAACATACCTCTCAGTCGCTCTCCGTCTCTCCCTCTCTGCTCCTCTCACGTACACAAGGTTTTGGTTTGGGGGATGATGTGGCCCCCTGTGACCCTGCTTCCTTCACATGAGCCAGGCGAGTGGGGAAGGACGGTCACCACACATCTTCACCCCCTTCCTTGGCGCTTGTCTTCACCTGTTCGCGTGCTCCTTCTCACATCTCTGCACACATTGCGTATTCCTTTCGGTGCAGAAGAGAGTGACTGGAAGCAGGTTTGTTTCTTTTCCTCTTTCCCTTTCTTCTCCATTTTCGTTTCCCTCTCTCACCACCTCCCAGCTCAGCCTGACCATCACGAAAGGGCAGAGGAGATTCAGAGTGTTTTGCATTGCCATTCCAGTTTCAACCAACAGGGATTTTGGGGCATGGGGTGATGGGCAAGTCATTGCCTTTGGAATCTGTTGCAATCCTTAGGGAAGATGAGACAAGGAATCAACAGCCACTCATGCCTACAGAGGATCCAGGGTTGCCTCCTAAGTGATAGAAACTATGAGGAAATCAGAGAGTATAGAGACTCTGGGAGTCCAAAGAGTCAGGAGGAAGCTTGAAGAAGTAAATATGGTTCGAACCTTCCCTTGAGGGTAGGTGGGATTTGGTAGAGATAGAGATGGAGATGGAGGTAGAAATGGAGATATACAGGGAGAGATAGAGATAGAGAGAGAGAGTTCATTAGAGGCAAGGGAAGCAGCCAGGTCAAATGCTCAAGTGAAGGCCGGGTGTAGGTAATGGAATGCCTCACTGCAGAGAGGCTCCACCATGGTGGAGGACGCTCACCATCTTTCGTCTTCCCCCATCCCTGTGTTCTCCCTGCAGGAGAAGGCCCTGTCTTCCTTCAGCCCCCAGTGGAGCCTGGACCGGTGAGGAGGCTTGAACAACTTTGACAGTGGGGCTGTCCCAGTGACCTGCCTCCATCCTCCCTGGGGGGGCTTCTCCTGCTTTGCCCAGATGCTTTTGAGGATCTCCCTGGTGACAGGCTGGGCTCTCACTGTGCAGGAGCCGTACCCCCCGGGGACTAGATGATGAACTAGACACCGGGGATGCCAAGTTCTTCCAAGTCATTGAACAGCTCAACTCTCAGAAGTACGGAGAGCAGGAGAGGGCTGGGAGGGCTGGAGGCCTGGGCTCATGTGGTAGAGGAGGGGTGGTAGGACCTGGAAGGAAGGGAGAGCCTTCCCAGCTCTAGCCCTTCGACTCACCGGACCACGCCCTCCTCCCTGCCCCTTCCTCTTCCGGGCTTACTGCCCCCACCCTCCACCAGACAGTGGAAACAGTCAGAGGACTTCAACCCATTGACACTGTACTTCCGAGAGAAGGAGATGGAGAAAGAGGTAGACTGGGGGGATGTCACCATAGGACTTCCCAACCTCAGTTCCTGCACCCTGGGGAGGGAGCAGGCCCTGTGGTCCCACCTCCCCTCCCCAGGTCTGCCCAGCTTGTGACCCTGGTGGGTGAAGGGCTCATACCCATCTATTGAATTACTGGGTGGTGATGGGAGGGAGGAGGGCAGCTCCTTGGGGAACAGGTAGAGGCTACCTGGGACGGAACTGGAGGAGGGACAGTGAGGCTGGGGACCCACTCCTTGCCTGGGACTGACACCTTCAAGGTGATGGGCAGCACTGGTGCCCTGTCTCCACCGACCCCCTCCCTTCCAGTATCGGCTCTCTGCACTCCCCGCCTTCAAATACTATGCCGCCTGCACCTTCCTGGTTTTTTTCTCCAACTTCATTATCCAGATGCTGGTGACAAACAGGTGAGGGACCCCCAGGCAAGGGAAGCCCTGATTCTCAAGAACAGAACCCCTGGCTCTTCCAGACCCCTGGCCCACACTTTCTTCCCTTGCCCACTTCCCCTCAGCTCAGCGCACTGAGCCACAGAGGAAATGGAAACATGTGGTCTGGGGAACTGGTCATCATAGCCCCCATCTTCCTATCTTACATCCCGTGGACTTTCTGTGTACCCCAAGCATTTTCACATACCCGTCTTTCAATTCTAGCAACAGTCCCATGAAGGAGGTTTTGTTCCCATTGAGAAGTCCAAATCTCACAGCAAATGAGCTTAGAGAGTAGGTCCTCACTCCCAGTTCACTGCTAGGAGGGGTGAGGACTCATTCAAAACTCAGCCAGATGAAAGAGCTTTGGCCTGAAAGCGCAGAGACCAGTCTGATGCAGCCTCGGCCACTCCTGTGAGTCCCCTGTCCCCTTCCAGTATTGTCCCTACGTTATCCCAGTACTGTCCTTGACCCCTCAGCTTTCCCAGATCATCAGCATGTAATGCCTTTCATCAGCCTAGACCTCATTGGCAGCGGGTTCAGATCCCCAGGACCACTTTTCCCCACGTCTCCCAACCAGACTGAACGGCGCCCTCCCAGCGCACAGAAAACCTCTTCTGGTTCTTAAAGGCCTCGCTCTTGTCTCTCTTTAGGCCCCCAGCTCTGACCATCACCTATAGCATCACCTTCCTCCTCTTCTTCCTCCTCCTCTTCGTCTGCTTCTCAGAGCACCTGACGGTGAGGTGGGCTTGGGGGCAGAGTGGCGAGCTGGGGCCCTGACCACGACTTGGCCTGCAGTGGGTGCCCCAGCCCCACGGCTAAGACTCCCATGCTCCTTCCACAGAAGTGTGTCTTGAAAGGCCCCAAGATGCTGCACTGGCTGCCCACACTGTCTGTCCTAGTGGCCACACGGCCCGGACTGCGAGTTGCCCTGGGCACCGCTACCATCCTACTCGTCTTCTCCATGGCCATTACCAGCCTGGTGAGAGAGAGGGGGCCCTATGCACCCCCATTAGGGCATGCCGGACCTGCCAGAGGCTGAAAGAGGACCCCTGGATTTGGGGGGACTGCTGGACTAAAGCCAGGGGATGCTGGAAATGTTGGACAAGTGTAAAAGACAATTATAGTCGCCCACGACCTACCACCTGGGCATAATCATTGTTAATAACACTTTGGTGGATATCCTTCCTATCTTTTTTCTATGTATGCAGACCTTCCTTCCTTACCTTACTCACTATGATTTTGTAAGCTGAGTTTGGCTGATTTTTCAGAACTTAGCATCGTTCCTAGAATTCTATCCCTGAAAAGCACCTTAGGAATCATCCCCCATCCAAGTTACAGAAGCAGAAGCTGGGGCCCAGAGAGGTTAAGTGGCTGGCAAAAGATCACACAGTGGATCCATGACAGACTAGAGCTCAGGACACCCACTCCCCTAATCCCTGCCCCCCCCCCCCCGCCCCCGCCAGCGAGGACCCCAGTGCTGAGGCTCCCTCACCAACCAGAGATAGCAGGCTCCCCCCCTTTGGAGGAGTCTGGCCACGACTCATCCCTGGGTCAGCTGCAACCCGGCACAAGCCGCCACTGTGCCCAAGGAACTGCCTGCCCGCCTCAGCTCCTCGTCTCCTTCTGCAGGTCTTCTTACCGGCAGCATCAAACTGCCCTTTCCGGGCTCCCAATGTGTCCTTCACGGCTTCCAACCTCTCCTGGGAGCTCCCTGGGTCCCTGCCTCTCATCAGCGTCCCCGTGAGTATCCCTCACAGCCCTGAATCTCCTTCTCCAGAGCCTTCCTCCGCCCCTCCCCCACCCCTTAGTTGAAGAGCACTTCATCCCGTGGACCGGGACAGATATGTCACACTTGGTGTGTGTGTGTGGCCGACACCCTCTACCCTCCTGATAGGACTGGACCCTGGGAGGGGCAGGACAGGAGCCCTGGGGCGGCCCCCGCCCCCGCCCCTGCCCGAGGGACATGCCCCACCTCCTGACCGCCTTGCCCGGGCCCCCAGTACTCCGTGCACTGCTGCGTGCTGGGGTTCCTCTCCTGCTCCCTCTTCCTGCACATGAGCTTCGAGCTGAAGCTGCTGCTGCTGCTGCTGTGGCTGGCAGCCTGCTGCTCCCTCTTCCTGCACTCCCACGCCTGGCTGTCTGACTGTCTCATCGCCCGCCTCTATCTGGGTGCCTTGGACTCCAGGTGCGCACGGCCGCTGCACAGTGGGACACGGGCTGCGATGGGACAGAGCAGGAGTGTTTTCATCTCTTTGTCTGAACCACCCACAGGGCAAAAGGAGAGGGAGGCCGAGGGCTACGTGGGCACGGGTGCGGGAGGCGGCGGGGAGAGGCCATCGAGAAGGGGCAAGGCAAAGGGAAGCCCTGATCGGTAGCCTCCTCAGGCCAGGGGTGCTGAAGGAGCCTAAACTGATGGGAGCAATCTCCTTCTTCATCTTCTTCTTCACCCTCCTGGTCCTGGCTCGGCAGGTAAGTCTCCCAGCTCAGCCCTCCAGGGCCTCCCTAGGAAGGGTGAGGCGGAGTCCCCACATGTGTGACTTCATCTTCCCCTTATTCTCTTACTGCCTTTCCCTTATTCTCACCTCTCCAGGGTGGAGCCCAAATGGTGTGTCCATTAGAAGCTTCTAAGTGAACCTTCCTGCTCCCTTTCTTTCTCCTTCACTCCCCGAGGGGAGCACCCTCAAATTCTCCCCTCCCCTCCTCCCTCCCACCCCAATCTAGGAGAATTCATGCTTAAGAAAAAATCTGCTGCCACTACTGTCCTCGCTAGTTTGAATCTAGATTCAAGGCAGTCTCCCCAGGGATAGTTGCACCTTAAGCCTTTTCTCTAAACTGGGGGTGTGGGATGGTTTTCAGCGTCACGGAGTGAGGGGTGGACACTCAGGAGCTGGGGCTCCCCCTGTACTGTCTCTTCCCATGGCCCCCTGGTGACCCTCCCCAGAATGAGTATTACTGCCGCCTGGACTTCCTGTGGAAGAAGAAGCTGAGGCAAGAGCAGGAGGAGACAGAGACGATGGAAAACCTGACTCGGCTGCTCTTGGAGAACGTGCTCCCCGCGCACGTAGCCCCCCAGTTCATCGGCCAGAATCGGCGCAACGAGGTGACTCCCCACCCCCAGCTCCTGAGCCCCAGACGATGAAAGTCTTGTCTTGGCCCATCCTCTCTGGACTCCTGTACCATGGGTTGGGTGGCTGCCGAGCCCCGGTGCCTGTCAGGTGCCTCCGTTTTCACAAGAGCTTAGGCTCTGTCTTTGGCGAGCACGGAATCTCCGGCTCCCAGGTTCTTACTTGGAAGGAGTGTCCTCTCTAACGGCCACTCTCTCCACTTCAGAAGCCTCATCGCGTGTCGATGGGAACTGTGTGAAGGACACAGTCCACCCATCTCTCTAGCCCTGCATTATCCAGTATGGTAGCCGTTAGCCTTGTGTGGCCATTTAAATTTAAATTAATGAAAATAGAAAATTCACTTCCTCGGTCACACTGGCCACATTTCAAGTGTTCGACAGCTTCTCGTGGCTAGTGGCTGCCATATTGGGCGGCACATATAATAGGCGTTTCCACCACCACAGAAACTTCGGTTGAATGATCCTGCTCTAGATCCTCAGATATCTTGCTACAGTCAGAGGATCAGAGGTCACTCACATATCCGCACCATCTTCTCTGTACCACCACCACCTCGCACTGTCTGCTGTGGAAACTCTGTTGGCCTGTATCAAGAGGGTGTTAAAAGAAATGGCTCAGGGGCTATGTCGCAGCCTTGTGCCTCACCACATGCTCTCTGCTCTCGAGATCAGTAGTAGCTCTGCTTCTCCTGGTTTCTTCTCTTATAGACACTGGAAATCTGGTAACTGATCCTGTTTCTGTCTTCTCATTGGCTACTAGAAAGCTCAGAGCCAGAATCTGGGATTAATGAGATTCCCCCTTTCCCTACCATTGCTCTTTTTTTTTTTTTTTTTTTTTTGAGTTTGAACAAAAATCCTTTTCTCAAAGCTCTGGAGGTTATTATTGCTTCATTTTATCTTCCAAACTGTAGCTATCTTTGTAAGCTGACTTAACTGACTTAACACTTTTCAGCAATAAGATAGGATATACAGATAATTCCCATGGACATGATCCCAGTTCCAAAAGAGACTCCCTTCACGTTGCTGTGAGGTGATCTTGACTCTGAACCTCTGTCTCTCCTGGAATTGCAATGAGACCCAATCTTTAACTCTTGAGTCACATCCCTGGGGTAACCTGGCCCTACCCCTCTCGTTCCTTCCCGATCTTTCTTAAACCAAGGCGGTGGAGTGTGGACACAGGGAGGAGGACCCATGTAGACCCAGAAGGGGGAAGAATGTGGCATAACCCCTTACCCCAACCTCTTGCCCTCCCAGGACCTCTACCACCAGTCCTACGAGTGTGTTTGTGTCCTCTTCGCCTCAGTCCCAGACTTCAAGGAGTTTTACTCTGAATCCAGCATCAACCATGAGGGGCTAGAGTGTCTGCGGCTGCTCAATGAGATAATTGCTGATTTTGATGAGGTGACAACTTGAAAGGTCCCCCCAGACCCTGTGACCTGGATTCTAGAATTTCCCACCAGTCCCTCCTTCCACTTCGCTCTCCCGGCCATGAGGCCCACCCTTCCTCCCCAGTCCTCCTGCTTCTCCTCTGATCCCCCAGCTCTGCCCTCCCCAGCAACTCTGCCCACTACCAACTCTCCTCCTGCCACCATCCCTGATCCCACAACTGGTCCTTTAGCTTCCAAAATCCTGGGGCTGGGCTTCTGGGAGAGAGCAAGAGAGACTGGGGACACAGCCTCCTTTCCGTACAGCTGCTCTCCAAGCCCAAGTTCAGTGGGGTGGAGAAAATCAAAACTATCTGCAGCACCTACATGGCAGCTACAGGCTTGAACGCCACCTCTGGACAGGACGCACAGCAGGTACAGCGTCCCTTCATTTCGTACTGACCCTCGTCCGGGCTCTCATTGGTGGGCCCATAAGTGGGTCTTATCCCTGTGACCTCATTGATCCATCCTGGTGGGCCGGCCTTTTGCCAGGATGCCGAGCAAAGCTGCAGCCACCTTGGCACCATGGTAGAGTTTGCTGTGGCCCTTGGGTCTAAGCTGGACGTCATCAACAAGCACTCATTCAACAACTTCCGCTTGCGTGTGGGTGAGGACCCTCCCTTGCTGGGACAGTCTGGGACCTCCTCCTCACTTTCCCAAGCTCTCCCTCTCCCGAATCCTTTGTTAGCTGCTCCCCAGCTCACCCCGGGAGCCCCCTCCAGACTCACCCCTTGGGATGGAGCATGAAGCTGCTGGGCCAGAAGCTATGAGATCCATCCAATTCTTTCCCTAGGCCGCAGTCCTCCAGCCCCTCCTCCCTTCCTCCAAGGCCCCTAGGCCCTTCACCCTAGTTCCTTGAGCTGCATCTTCCCCTCCGCTTCCTCGAAATCCCCCCCTCAGGGCCCCTCTTTACCGTACCTCTTGTCAGGGTTAAACCACGGACCTGTAGTGGCCGGAGTGATTGGTGCCCAGAAACCACAATATGACATCTGGGGCAACACGGTGAACGTGGCCAGCCGAATGGAGAGTACAGGCGTCCTGGGCAAGATCCAAGTGAGGGAGCCACATTGGAAGCGTGGGGGTGGGGCGATAGGTAGGGCCACTTCCACATTCCCTCACCCCTCCTCCAATCGCAGGTGACCGAAGAGACAGCCTGCGCCCTGCAGTCCTTAGGCTACACCTGCTACAGCCGGGGCATCATCAAGGTCAAAGGCAAAGGGCAGCTCTGCACCTACTTCCTGAACACAGATTTGACACGAACTGGACCTCCCTCGGCCACCCTAGGCTGAGAACCCCACCCCCTCCTCCCACCTATAAGATCCTCAATAAAGATACTCTGGTATGTCTGGGTTAGAATTGATGTCAGAAGCTACTAGCGTATCTGGGGAGCATCTTCTCCTCGCCTCTCAGTAGTATGGCTTCTTCTCAGGCCAAACTGAGTGTTTGTGTGTGTGCAAGTGTGAGCATGAGTGTGTTAAAAAGGAGTGATTCTTTCTCACAAGCTCAGCAAGACGACTGCCTCAGCCTTCCTGCCTGCCTGCCAACATGATTCCAATGTTTTGTACCCTTGGAAGCAGAAAGGATTTTATCCACATGACTCAAAACAAAAACTTGTCCTTTCCTGTTCCCCATCCACAAATACTGGAAAGAATCTCCAGTAAAATGTCATTTGATCTTTATTCATTCAACAAACACTAAATAAGCACCTGTTATGTGCTTACTATGTAGCATGGGCGGGAGGCCTGGGAAATAATCTATTAGGTCCCTCGCTGTTTTGGCTGCTGTTCTCAAACGGACCCACCATGCTTTCTAGCAAGGACCTGTAGACAGTTTGAGGGTCTCCTGTTCTCAGGTCCCTCAGATTCCCCCCTGCTTCCTTTTGCATCCTTCTGCACGGTTGCCGATATTACGTGGGTCTTGAAGCATCCAGGGCTCATTCCCACTTGCTCATACTTTGGGGTCCATGGGAGATATCTGGACACCCTAAGTTTGTTGCAGATGTTGCACGTGGATTTGGGGCTTTTCTCCTAGTTGTCTTTCTTTTTTTATAGGAGATATTCAAAAAGTACACTGCCGCTACCATCTTCTATTTTTTTTTTAAATGAATATCGTATATTTTTATTTTATTTATCTATTTATTTTTAATTTTTGGCTGCATTGGGTCTTCAGTGCTGCGCGCGGGCTTTCTCTAGTTGTGGCGAGCGGGGGCTACTCTTTGTTGCAGTGCGCGGGCTTCTCATTGCGGTGGCTTCTCGTGGAGCACGGGCTCTAGGCACACGGGCTTCAGTACGTGTGGCACATGGGCTCAGTAGTTGTGGCTCGCGGGCTGTAGAGCGCAGGCTCAGTAGTTGTGGCACACGGGCTTAGTTGCTCTGCAGCATGTGGGATCTTCCTGGACCAGGGCTCGAACCCGTATCCCCTGCATTGGCAGGCGGATTCTTAACCACTGAGCCACCAGGGAAGCCCCTACCATCTTCTTAAAACGCTGTCGGAACAGAGCCAGTCCCAGACTCTCCAAGGCAACAGTCATCCCTAGGAAAGAATGACTCAACCTTCTCACTTCTGCAAATCTTCATTTCCTAAGGGTGACCACATCACAGAGGGCCCTCAGCTCCAGCCTGCACCAGAGCATTTTAGGGGTTGGCAGAATGCTGATGTGCAGAATTCTAGGGGATAAGATCTGATGACTTGGTTCTCAAGTGAGGCCTCCTTGGGAGACACAGGGAAGGAAAGCAATCCCCTAGGACACCTCCCACTGAGAGGACAAAGATTACTGGTAGGAAGTTGGAGTCCTGCTAATAAAGATACCCATCACAGCCTTCAGGACAGACACCTCACAGCAGTGCTAAGTGTTCTCAGAAGGTTCGCTAAGTCAGGGAGTGAAGGTCCGCTGAGTCGGGGAGTCTGGAGTGGTGAGCCCACGTGGGTGGTCTTCCTTGGCCAGCTCCTTCAGGGGTCTGCAGCCCTGTGTTGTTCTCAGTATGATCTCCAGACCACCTGCCTCAGAGGCAGGGAGGGAAGAAGGTCTGATTTCTATGTCTGTGTCTCTTCCAAAGCTGAAAATCATGGGAAACTAATGGATGTGCCTCTCAGCTGTTGAGAAGGACACCCATAAGGGCAACCAGGAGCACCCCAGTCCGCCATAATACGCATGCCCCACACACAGGGTTGACCCAATTTCAGACTTCAGTTTTCATTGCAAAGCTGCCCGTGGGGGCCAGGCTCCCACTCTGCCCTGACTTGCCCTTCCCCTCCCTCTCTTCCGCTCCACCCGCCACCTGGGTAAGAGGAGGTTGAAGAATTGGGTCAGGCCAGCGTGGGCGTATTCCCCCAGGAGGAAAGCGAGCAGCCTTCCGCTGCCACCACCCCGCAGGCCTAGCTGACTTCGCTTCGCTCGAGAGGGTTGGTGGAGGCAGTGAGGCTCTCGGCGGGGCCAGGTTCGGGAGAGGCGGGGGCACCCCTCACCGTCTGGGCCAGGGTGCCCCCGCGGCGGCTGCTGGACGCCTCGGAGCCGGTGCCCTCCAACAGCTTGGCGACGAAGGCCGTGCCAGCCGAGCGCTGCAGGCCGCCGGCAGCGCATGCGTACAGCACGGGGTTCACGCTGCTGCTCAGGAAGGCCAGCGTTCTGAGCGCTTGCGGGTCAGGTGCAGCCGCTGACTCTCAGGCCGGGACCCCAATGTCTTGCCCGCCAGCGCTCGGACCCCCTTGGCCAGGTTCACCACGTGGTAGGGCAGCCAGAAGGCAGCGAAGACCAGGATGATAAAGGCCAGCAGGCGGCCGGTGCAGCGGCTGCGGCGGAAGCGCCGAACCCGCAGCCGGCGCCGGATGTCGGAGTAGCTGGCCACCACGGCCAGGAAGGGCAGCACGAAGCCGGTGACCACCTCGAAGAGCAGATGGAAAGCCCCAAGTGCTTCGCTGGGGTACTTCGGGAAGCAGACCAGGCTCCTGTTGTCCGGACCCAACGTCACTTTGCGGTACAAGATGACGGGTGTGGCCAGCAGGACAGACACCACCCAGATGCCTGCTAGCGCCCGCCAGGCAACTGTCTTGGTGCGAGTTTCTGGGACACAGAGGGGAGGGCCACCACCAGCGAGCGGTCCAGGCTCATGGCCGTGATAAGCAGGACGCTGGCATACATGCTGACTCCGCAGACATAGTGGAACAGGCGGCAGCCAGCCAGTCCAAAAGTCCAGGTGCCTTGGGCTGTGTAGTAGAGGAAAAAGGGGGCAGTGAGCAATACGGCCAAGTCGGCCAGGGCCAAGTGTAGCACCAGCAGGGCAGTGACAGAGCGCTTCCGCATCTCTACCAGGATGCTCCACACCACAAAGCTGTTGCCGGGCAGCCCCACAGCCAGTGCTACTGACAGTACGATGATAACCAGCAGAGAGATGAACGTGACACCTGGTGACGAGGGTGCTTCAGGAGATGCAGTGTTCGTGGCCATTGCAAGGACCTGGAGAGCAAGGGCGGACACGCACATGAGGGAAGGGACAAGGGTTTCCTGACACCCTGGACACACCTAGCCTGCGTATTCTACTCTGTCTCCAAGGTCAGCAGCAGCAGATGCACCTCCGCAGTATACTGCCCTCATCACTGCCAACTGACCTGTCTTAAGGGGATCTGGCTGAGTAGAAAGACTTAATTTCCTAACTGGGCCACAGGGCCCCTTCCTGCCCACAGACCCAATTGCAAAATATATAGCAACAGCAGAAGCAGTATTTCCAGACCCTTCAGCCTCCTTCCCTCAGGAGACCCTAAAACCCAGAACCAAAGTGGGGACTTTCCTTACCAATGCCGCACCCCTCAAAAGGCTAGCTCCTTTTCCCCCCGCCAGGCCCTCAGCCCTTCAGTCCCACTGACTTCTTCCAACCACCTACCCACTTGCCCCAGAGATTCCCGGGGCCCATCAAGAATAACAGGGATGGGAAGGATTTCGTGGATAGGAGACAAGACTAAGCCCTCCCAAGTCATTTTACCACTGGTCAGGCTTTCTTTGGAAATTCCTTTGGACCTTCTCTTATGGCTTCACCGCCCCCCCACTCCCCTACTCCCAGGAAACTTACTTAAGGCTTTGCCGAGCACTGGTTGGAAGCTGGTGTCAATCCCAGGGTGAGAACAGAGTGGTGTAGCCTATCCCCAGGTCTGTCCCAGTGCCAGGGGCCTGGCCTGGGGTCCAGGTTCTATCAGCTAAGTCAGCCAGAGAGGAAGTACCACAGAGCAGGGGAGGGAGAAGACACATCTTCCTGAGGGTGGGGTGAGAACTCCTACCCCCTTCCTTCACTAGAGGAGGTGGAATTTTCCTCATGTTCCGGAAGAGCCCAGCTGGGAGGACGACTCCTCAGGGGTGGGGCGAGAAGAGAAGAGCCCCGGAAGGGGCAGTGAGAGAGGAAAGAGGGGTGAGGGGGTGAGTAGGCTGGGGTGTGGCCTCAGATGCAGGTCTAGACTGAAGCATTGAACAGAGTCATAAACTGCGTCATACAGGAGAAGGAGGGAAGGAAGCCAGAGAGGGGAAATGGACTCAGATTGAGAGGTCAGAACGTTGGATACCTTTATATTTTCTGTGAGCAATGTCAATTTTTCGATTAATAGGAAGTATAGGTTGACGCTGTGGCTAGGTTCTGGGTTTGGGTCAGGTGACGTCAAAGAGGACGGCATTGTGTGTTTGGCTTGAATTCAAGCCATGACCGGGATTTGGGGGAGAGGACCCTCTTCCAGCACCCCATTCCTCCGCTCGGTTAAAAGAACTAGTTCCATTCTAGGTCAATCTCCAATCTCTTTGGGAGAAGCCAAAGTCCAAATGGTCTCTCTAGTATCACACAGAATGACAATTTCTTCCCCTTCCTGAACCACTTGCCTTGTGTTTGCCCATGTGGCTACCCTGCCACATGAATTTGGACCCAGGATCTGGGCACTGGGCAAGGAAGTCAGCACCACCTCTTTCCTACCTTCCCACAGCTGACTGTTCTGTCCCACCTTAGACACACAGAGAGAACAGAGGTGAGCACAGGGGAGCAGGCATGAGGGAGTGAGGGCAGCGATGCCTTATGCCTGCCCTGCCAAGGGGGGAAACCAGGAGGCTGGAAAGGGAAACAGCCCCCAGAAGGGTCACTCTTCCGGCTCCCTGGAAGGAGGACAGTCTCGTCTTCTTGAACTCTCCTGCGAAGCTAAGAACCAAAAAGTCTTATCTTCCATCTGACCATGAGCCTTTCTGCTTCCCTTCCAACTCTGCCTCTTCTCAGGAAAGATGCACAGTGTAATGGTGGTCATTGAGGTCCCTTATCCTCTGTAGTGCCCCTACCTTTCCTGCTGTGGGAAAAGCCAGAGCAGAGTTGACCCAGCAGTTATCAGGCAGAGGATACGGCGAAAAGAAATGGGCTGAAACCGCAGCAAGAACTGAAGACAGAGTTGAGGAAGGGCTTTCTGACCACAGAGAGTGTGTGAGAAGGGGAGTGTGTAACAGAAGTTGGGGAGCCTCTGCCCCAGTGCGCAAGGACAGGAAGAAGCCCATGAAGTTGGTGTTTGAGGATAGAAGCTTCCGGCTCAGAGCTCCAGGGTCAACCAGAGGTCCCTTCTGACAGGAACTGGGGTGTCTTTGCCCCCTCTTCCAAACTGCTCCCCACCTCCGTTTCTCTCAATGGCCTGTCTTCCTCTGCCCTAGACTAGACACTCTAGGCATACTCTCCGTCCCCCAGGTCCGGAGCTCCATCCCAACCCGTTTTGGTGGCCCTGATGTGACCCTGAGAACTGGATCTCCTTTGCTGTCTCTCTTGGCCTCTGCCTGGGTGGTGTGAACAGTCACTAAAGCAGAACCGGGGTGATGGTTAGGGTGACCTCTCAGGTAAACAACCATCTAAGTTTGCCAGAGACTGAGGGCGCTGGGACAAGAGACTCAGTGCTAAACTGAGAAAGTCCTGGGCAAACGGGGATGGGTTGGTCACCATGGTGACCACACGTGTGTGCACACGGACAGCCCTTAAAAAGGACCCCATCCTACATCCCCAAACTCAAAAGTGTCAGAAGCCAGAAAAATTTTGAGACCTAGAGGTAGAAAGATTCCAAAAGATGGGGGCTGAGAAGTACTGGGGGAGATGAGGAAGAGCTAGCAGTCTTGGGGGGAGTCAAGACTTGGCAGAGAGGAGAAAGAGAGAGAGGAGAAGTGGTACCTCCCTGAAAAATTCCTCCTGTCTTCGAGATATCCACACCACTCCCCATACCCCTCAACCCCAGCCCCCAGAGGGTCCCTGCGTGAGTGAACGCCTGTTCCCGGGCTCCTTTTTGAGTCAGGTGACCTTTGCAGGGAGAGTTAGATTCAAAGAAGGTACGTCTCAGATTCCCACGGCCCCTCCCCCACTGTACCAACCACAAGACAGACAAGAAAACTTTCCTTTCAAACCCCACAGATTGACTTTCCCCTTCCACAGCCAGTTTCCTCTCCACTCGGCTCTAACAGACCCCAAAGAACGGATCCCATCACCACCCCTCGTCCAAGCACTCATACCTTTCCTTCCTCTTTCTCTCTTTATTTCCAGAGCGGTTCTATGGGTTGGCTAGGGGGAACCAGGCCACCTGGGCTGGGGAGGACAGGTCATGATGCCACCGAAGGCTGGCATTGCCCAGCCTTGGCCCGACCCAGCAGGCAACTAGGTGACTTCGGTATCACTCAGGTATGATGAACCACTGGAGGGAGCATGCTTAAGCCATCGTGTAATTGTTGCCAAAATCTTGGCTCCCTGTCCACCAATGCCGAATAGAAATACGGAGACAAAGTCTGGAGGAAATAGAAAAGAGTGGCTTTATTCCTTTGGCCAGGCAAGAGGGAAACACAGCAGGCTAGCACCTCAAGAACTGTGCCCCCCCTCTCCTGGGGGATTACAGAGGGTCTTATAGGTAGAACTTGCAGTCCAGGTAAGTGATAAGGATCAAAGTGGTGAAGGTTTTGCATTCTTCTTCTTCTTGCAATATTTTAAAACGGCCACAGCTAGCAAAAGGCAACCGGGTCTGGTGTCCCTGAAGTTATTGTCCCGTGACCTTTTTTTTTTTTTTTTTTTGTGGTACGCGGGCCTCTCACCGCTGCGGCCTCTCCCGTTGCAGAGCAGCACAGGCTCCGGACACACAGGCTCAGCGGCCATGGCTCACGGGCCCAGCTGCTCCGCGGCATGTGGGATCCTCCCGGACCGGGGCACAAACCCATGTCCCCTGCATCAGCAGGCAGACTCTCAACCACTGCGCCACCAGGGAAGCCCCGGTGACCTTCTTTTAATGCTGCGAGAGAGCGTAGGGGGAGAAGAATGCCAGGTGCAGAGTATAATTCCTATGGAATCAGAGAGTAATTAGCTTTGTGAAGGACAAGTCTAGCTACAAGTGTTTGTTAGTAGTAACAGCTAAAGAGTAACCAAGATTGCTTAACTCTTTCAGGCCTGTTTATGCTGTTTCCCCAGCCTGTTCATTGTTTGCTTATTTTCCTTGCTTATCAGAAAAGTCTCATTTCTACTTTTGCTGAAACATAATGACCACCCAGTGTATTTCACAATAGCTATTGGCAACAAGTAAGCAGCTCTGCCACCTGGGCACATGCCAACCTTCAAGTACATGATACTCCTTAACACTGACCATCACCACTCAAAGTCCCTCAGTTTGAGGAACCTGGGCCTGCCCCAGATGTATGATAATTCTGCCCAGACAGGTCAAAACTATGGTCAGAGAAGGATCCCCAAACTGTCCACAGTGGTTCCCTGAGTTCTGGGAGGCAATGTAAGGGGATAGGGGAGAGCAGGCCCGGTTGTAGGGTTTGACGTCAAGGGTCTCATCCCTGACTGTCCCTCTCCGCCCCGCCCCCAGGGTCTCCATTGCCACGGCCCTGCCCCAGCACTTTGAGCCGAGTGCTAGCTCGGAGCTCCATGGCCCCCACCCTAGACTGGACGCCCCATCGGGCCTCTCCGGAGCCCTCGAAGAGCCGCGTGAGGAAGCGGGGACCCGCCCGGGGCAGTAGATCCCCGGCGGTGAAGAGGTAGAGCAGCGGGTTGACGCTGGAGCTGAAGAAGGCCAGAGCCGTGGTTCCGGCTCGCGCCGCCTGGCCTGCCCCGCCCAGGCTCGCCAAGGCTCCTTCGGGCGGAGCCAGCGCGGCGAGCGCCTGCAGTACGTTGACAGCGTGGTAGGGGGCCCAGAGCAAGCCAAAGGCCAGCACGATGGCGACCACCAGCCGGCCCACCCGCGCCCCGTGCCGCCTGGCGCCCCAGCGGGTGCCCCGCAGCCGCACCAGCGTCACGCCGTAGCAGCCGAGCACCAACCCGAAGGGCAGCACGAAGGCGGTCAGGGTCTCCAGGCTCAGGTGGGCGGCGGCGTGGGCGGGCGACGGGTGGCACAGCTGGCACACGCGGTCCGCCCAGAGGTGGCGGTACACGGCGGCCGGGCTGGCGAGCACCAGGGCGGCCAGCCAGACGGCCAGCAGCAGGCGGCGGGCCAGGGCCGGGCTGCGCAGCCGGGGCGCCAGGAAGGGGCGGGTGATGGCGAGGCAGCGCTGCAGGCTGAGCAGGCCGGTGAGCAGCACGCTGGCGTACATGCTGAGCGCGCACACGTAGTACACGGCCTTGCAGCCCGCCTGGCCCAGCGGCCAGGCCTGCCGGGTCAGGAAGGTCACGAAGAGCGGCGTGAGCAGCAGCACCGAGCCGTCGGCCAGCGCCAGGTGCAGCACGAGCGTGGCCGCCAGCGGTCGCCCCCGTGCGGGCCGCCAGCCCGCCAAGCTCCACACCACGAAGCCGTTGCCAGGCAGCCCCAGCAGCGCCGCCAGCAGCAGGAAGGCTGTGCCTGTGACCCGCGAGGTCTTCCAGCTCAGCAGCGTCTCGTTTCCCGGGGGACCGTAGCAAACCGACATCCCTAGGCGCCTACGGGAGGCTGGAAAGAGCCATGGAGCGCTTTCAGGTGGGGCAAAAGCCCACGTTACGCCTGATGCCGGTGAGAAGGGACTGTGCCTCCCTCACTCCTCTGCAGCCTGCCTCTCTTCTGTCTGGGAGCTTCTGTCTCTTCCTCCAGGACCCCAGACCCAGCTCAAACACTGCTTCCTGGAACCCAAATCCCCTGCTCTGGGTCAGCCGACCTCCCCAGTCCTGACTCCCAGGCTGTCACTGCCTCCACCTTCCACCCTCCTAACCTGGCCTCTCCTTCTTCGTCCAGCCCCGTTGCCTATACCTCAGGGCAAAAGTGAGTGGAAGGGAGTATGGTCTCATGGGCAGATCTACTTACCCAGCTGGGAGCGAGCAGGGTTGGGGGCCCTCCAGGGGCCTGGGGAAGCCCAAAGGCAAAGGGGCAGTGGGCCAGGTGCCTAATCCTGTCCTGTGCCTGTCAGGTTGTCAGAGGGTGAGGCGAAAACAGGGAGGGACAAGGTGGGGCTCCTCTCGGGCCTTTCCTGGGGCCCCTCCCTCACCCTGCTTCTTCCCATCACTAACACGTCCAGGCGTGTGAGAGCCCGCCTCCCCAGGAAACAGGATAAGCTGAAGGGGTGCAGATAAGGTTCCCTGGTCGTGTGGGTGAGTAGGGACACTGCCAGATCCTGCCCCTGGGTCCTGCTTCTGTGCTCATCCCTCCCCACCCCCTGCCCCCCACCCTGTGGTCCCAATCCTCCCACCCTGCAGCTCTTATGCTGTCTGGCCGCTCTTGCCTGCACTCAGCAGAGAAGACGACCCAACTCCTCATTCCCCCAGCTGCTCTACCTTTGCCTGTTTTCAGACTCCTGACTCTGAGACTCAGACTCCTGAGCCCCCTTTTTCCTCAGCTTCCTACCTACCCCTCTCACCTCTTGCCTTGGACCCTGCCCCAGTCATTCTGCCCTCACACCTCTCAGTGGGCTGTCAATGGCAGCTTTCAGTGTAAAGCATAGGTTAAGTTCCAGGCAGAATGGGAGATGCATGGAGGTGTGAGGGCTTATAGCCTGGTTGAGGAGTCCTAACTGACAACCATGAAGAGGCCACACTGCCAGGCTGCACCAGGATACGACGCAAGGAAGAAGGAAAGGGCGCAGTGTAGAGACTTACTTCTCTAGGTCGTGAGGTTGGGCAAAGCTTGGAAAGGAAGAAATTTGGTAGATTGATGAAATTTAGGGAAAGGGAAAAAAGGCTTCTGCCCAGTCAACAGCCAGAAGGGGGTTCCTTGGGAGCCAGGACACCAGTCTTGTCTCAGTTTGGGTTCCCTCCAGAGCAGAGCCTGAGTCGAGGACATGGGTAATCTGGTATTTGGGGAGTCAGGTCGGGAAGCAGGAGTGAGAGAGCAGGGGAAGAGAGGGAAGAGGAAAACCAGTAAGAGTGTATTATTGAATTCCAATATTCAGTGGGCATCAGGAACCTCTGAGTGCACAAAATAACTTCCAGAAAGAGAGAAGATGGGCGTTTATGGCCAGCTCACATTCCCCATTGTTTGAGGGTTGTCCTAGAGGCATTAATGCCCTTATACACACTTGCAGCCTGTACTTGTCAGGGGGCTGAGTGGGCTGCTACAGCTTCAGATAAGACTCCTGGGCAAGAAATCAAGGAGACTTATGCTCATGTGAGGGATTCACTGACAGTGAGAGTCTGAGCTTCCTCACAACTGTTCATCACAACTGCAGCTGAAATCAGAGATGGGGCACGGGGCACCGAATGCTAAAGTCCTGATGTCATCAAAGGACCCATCCCCTCTTCCGCCTTCCACATCTCCTTCATGCCTATAAAGTGGCCAATGGAGAAAGGTGAGAGAATGACTAATCCAGTGCAGCTGAAGCAGGCAGTTCTTCTGAAGAGAAGTGTTGAGCCAGCCCCTCCCCTAGCCCACAGAGGGAAGAGCATGAAAGAGGAAGGCCAGGGTCCC